AAATGGCTCACTGAGGACAAATATCCAGCCACCATTGTAAATAGGCTGAAAGAATTATTGTATGGGTTTAGGTTCATGATTATGAGTGATGGAGGGGAAATACATTTCTCAATTTGCTTGGCATAAAGAAAATCTCCCATGCAGTGCTGGGGAAGCAGTGCTTGGGTTCATGAGTATCAGTTATGCCTCCCTTGGCACTTTCTTGGCTCCAGTCTTCTGATGTTGTGGTTTTTTTAAATAAAACTACTCATTAAATAAATGACATGAATTTTACATGTGAGTTGGCATCATACAGCTTCATATTTATTTTCAAGATTTCTCTTGGCAAACTTAGAAAACAAAAAATAGTGCCTAGCAACTGCCCTATACTTTATTTAAAAGTAGTTTCTCCTGTATAGAAAAGATGGTACAATTGACCAGGGCAGATGGAAAGTATTTCAAGAAATTGAAGTAATGGGAGCGATCTCACCCATACGGCTTTTTCTTCATGGCAGCTTTGTGGGGAGGGGGGAAATCAGGCTTGCCAAAGGGAAAGTGAACTGCTTTGCTGGTCCAAATGGACATAATGCCAAGATGGTTGCATTTGTCTGATTATATGCCTGAGATACTGATGATTTCACTATCCTTGTCATTATTGTTGCTGTCATTATCTTTATCATCCTACTTATGCCAGATATTAAGTATGAGATAGACCTAAAATGCAAGACTGTTAGGTTATGGTGACTGAAAATGATATGAACTAAATTCCAATATACGAGAAAAACATATGCTTGGGAAAGAATGGGATGTGAAAAGGCTATGTAGACTTGATCCCATCAGAAGAACAGGCCAACAAATGCAGTAGAACGGCATTATTAAGTTCTGAAATGGTACAGTGGCTCAGACTGAAAACAGGAGATCACAAAGATATAATACTCTAGCACAGGGGTGTCAAACTCAAGGTTCGTGGGATGGATCCGGCCCATGATGTGGTCGGATCTGGCCCATAGGGCCATCCTGGAAAATGTAAGTGGCCAGACCATGTTGCATCGGCCCAGTCTACCCAATGTGAACAGCAAACATTGGCCCAGCGTGGCTTCGGCCTGGTCTACCCAATGCAAAGAAAAAATATCACACCAGCGTGGCTTTGGCCCGGTCTACCCAGTGTGAAGAGGAAACATGCCAAGTTTGGGGAGAGGTGTCAAGCTGGCCACACCCACCCAGTTGGCCACAGCTGGCCAGTCTGCCAAGGTCAACCACAGCCCTTATGTGGCCCTCAATGAAAATGAGTTTGACACCC